ACCTAACTATCTCGGATTTTTCGCGCGGTGTCTGGCAGGGGAAATACGGTACCTATTCTGGAACGGGATGACTCATTTTTTTATGAGTCAAAGCGAGTGATGTTTAAACTGTTTCAGTGAGGGCGAGGGTGGGCGAGCGGGGATGAGTGGGAGGGTGGGTGGAAGATTGAGGGAGGGAGGGATGAAGGAGGAAGAACGATGGTGGAAAGATGGTGTCGGAGGGGGAAACAGTGCAGAAGAGGTTAGTACGAGCGAGGGTAGGAGAAGGTGAGGGGGTGAGGGTGTGGGAGGGGCGGTACTAGTCATTGTGAGAAAGGGGTGAGAATGTGGGAGGGGGGGTGGTGAGGGTAGTGAGGATTAAGTAGAGTGGAAAGTGCTGAGAGAGAAGAGGGGTGGGTGGGAGGGAGGCGGTTTCGGGAGGGGCAGGATGAAAGGGGAGTGGGTTAAAGAGTGTGGACAGGATTTTTTTCCTAACAAATACACAGTGAGAATTTGAAATGACAGTCTGCAGGTGCATATGAATAATATAATATAAATTTAATTTAGACTAATATATCACTAATGGTGAATAGCAGGTTTTTAGGGGGTGTGGCGGTTTTTATATCGAAGTCTGTTACGAATTATACCTTGTGGCGCCATCCGGTGGTGTTATTTATAACTACATTGCTGATGCTAATCCAAGAAAAAATCGAAATGACATAATATTATCAGCCCATTTCAGTTGGTAAACAAACAACATAATATTATCAATACATCTGGTTTGTAACGAGATTGCATTATATTATGAATTCATCTAATTAGTAAACAAATAACATCATACTGTCAATACATTTGGTTAGTAAACAAATAACATTATATTATCAAGCAATTTACTTGGTAAACAGATAACATTATATTATCAAGCCATTTACCTGGTAAACAAATAACATTATATTATAATTCCATCTGGTTTGTGAAGAAATAACATAATATTATCAGTTTGTTTACTGATCAATAGTAAATCTGAATCTGCAACTCATTGTGATGTTATACGATTGTTTCAGATCGGCCCGGTGTGGTTGATACCCACACTGTCGCGGCATTACAAGACAAACTCATAGAGGCCCTCAAACTACAAGTATGTACATACATAGGTCACGTACAAGTATTGTACAAACTTGCAAAATTATTGCAGTGTGCAAACGATTGCAATTATTGGGATGTAAACTCGTACAATGGAAATTCGCAATGTAAGCGATTGCAAGTAAAAACGTTTGTAATGTTAACGACTGCGATTGAAACGTTTGCAACGTAAACGATCGAAACATAATGGACTGCAATGCAGATGGACTTCAGACGTAAACTATTCCAATGAAAGCGATTGCAATGTAAATTATTATCGTTATAATTCATTGCAGTGTGAACATTAGACTACATAGAACGTTAGAAACATGTGACTGTGCATGCATGTATGCTCTCATGTTGTTGTTGTTGCAGATTCAACGCAATCATTCCAGTGAGCCGCATCTGTTTCCCACTCTGCTCATGAGGTTGCCCGAGCTTCGGACGCTGGGGAACAAGCATGGCGACCAGTTGCAGTGGTTCCGACTCAACTGGCACCAGCTGCAGTTACCGCCGCTGTTTGCCGAAATCTACGACATACCAAAATCGGAAGATGTTATACAGTAGAGTGCGCTAAAGGTAGGAACGCGGGGAGGACTGTCGCCGTGTAAATGTGATTGCAATTTCTGATTTGAGCTGTGATTTCTGTAGGCTTGTGTCGCGAAGAGGTGACAAATCCATGAGACGCAGATGTGACTCTGTCTTGCCGTGTAAATGTGATTGGCGAGATTGAGTGTAGTGTAGTTACCCGAGAAGAAGAAGAAGAAGAAGAAGAATGTGATTGTAATTATCTAGCTCTGATTAGATCATTAGAGAGCTATGATTTCTGTAGGCTTGTGTTGCGAGGAGGCAGCAAATTTATGATTCGCTGTCATCTGTTTTTCGTTTCAGCTGCCATGCCAGTGCGTTTTAGCCAATCGCATCAGCATCTGCGTATGCACATGTCACTAGTGGTGCCCTCTGGATCTGCTGTGGCTCACAATTTAAATGTCAAGTATGCAGCAATTCTTGTCATTGTGGCACAAGGTGGCAGCACTGCAGCATTTATACACAAGGAGGCAGCACTGCAGCATTTACCCGCAGGGTGTCAGTACTGCAGCATTTCTGCTAAAGCTCTTCATTTATTTGCGAATGGTCCCAAGACGCATCTTGTGGTGCCCCCCGTTCGAAGAAAGACATCTTGTGGCGCCCCCTGTGCGAAGAAAGACATCATGTGGCGCCCCCTGTGAGCAAAGATGGAGATCTTTGTGCCAAGGTTGTCACATACCAAGGTCATTGTGTGTGTTGTAGGGGGTATATACACTGATGGTGTGTTGCTCAACCTCAACCAACCGGCAGGATGGAATGAGAGCTGTGGTCGTGTACCTGTGCTTGTCAGCGCCGTCTGTGCGAGGGGAAACAGCGCCCCCTGTAGTCACATGAAAGCACTAGTTTTGTTATGCACTGTCACTATGGAAACGTACCACTAGCAAATCAAAAGAAGCCAAATTTGTTGTTATTTATTTGCATGTGCGCACGCATAGCGCCTTGCAGTTGTTAGAGAATGTATTACCCTCCCTAATACCTAGCCAGGTTACCTTTAGAGTGAGTATGTATGAAATATACACGTGCACACTTATATACGCGCGCGCGTGTGTGTGTGTGTATGTGCATGTGCATGTGTGCAGTCTGCATATACATGAATATATGTATCAGCATAAATCATTGTTGTAGTTTTCGTAGGTTTGTATAGCCGGTCCATTAATTATTGCGTAATACTGGACCAGGAACGTAGATTGCTACGTCACTTCCCTCCCATCTATATCGTAACAGTGGTCTGTCAATCTCTCAGCCTAAGCCACAGTGTCGTATCATGTGATGTCATATCACATCTAGTACGTCGCATGCATCATCATGTCATCATGTTACATACCATCTAGTGTCATGTCACGCATCACGCCGTGTCGCATACGTCATTCTACGTTGCATTTCATCTAGTATCGTATCACGTCCATGTCATGTCTCGTCTAGTATCGTGTCACGTCCATCATGTCATGTTATGTCCCAGCTTGTATCATGTCAATTGCGCCATGTTACATCCCATCTTGCTGCTAGCTGTTCACATTAGCTCACTCATCAGCATGTCGTACCATTTCACGTCATGTCATATCATGTTATATCTGCCTTATTCTATAAACACTATCCTGTCACATCCAATTGCCTTATGATATTTTATGTCACTCCATGGCGTGTTATATCCTTGCATGGCATGTTATCTCATCCAGTGGTGTGTTGGGTCATCAAATGGTTTGTTATGTTCACGTCGTCATGTTCCGTGTCCGGCTGGGCATCACGGAAAACGTTGACTGTTTTCACATTCGTAAAGTCACGTGAATCAACTTTGTGTGTGTCGTGAAACTACTAACTGTGCGCTGTACCATTATCTGTCATGATACGTCAGCTATCCTACGTCAGAGTTCATTCATGTCCGCCGTCACTTCTCTCCTCGCTGATATAATATGGGTATCTTTTTACTAACAGTTTAGGATCGACTGCCAGACAGGGCGCTGGCGTAGGGGAAAACGTATTTCTTAAATCATGTATTTTTGAAATCTATACTTTTATTCAGACTCGAATGAAATGAAATGCTAGAAGTTTCAGGGAATTTTTTCGTAACACTAATGGTGAACGTACCAATAATACACTCTGCTCTGGCCTTTTTGGAGACGGACCTTTTTTTACCTGTAGTTTTTAATAACGGCACCTCTTCACTCGTGCGGATGTTACTAGCAGCAGATATTTGCCAGCAGCTGACCCGCGTGCGCTAGCGCCACAGCAAACTAGTCAGGTGTGGCCGGAAGTTGTGATTTTGTCACGGTAGGTGGCGCTAGCGAGGGTCAGCTGGAGGCAGGCTGCGTCACACGTGGTTCCCTCGCAGCATCTAGTGACTGAGAGCAGGTGTGGAGATGTTTGTATGATTTGAGCACGTGTCGATCGCGTGACTCCCAACTCTTCCACTCTTACACTCTACCTCATCTTTTGTACCGCGGTTGTTTTTGATGGTATATTTTCCTTCTATACAATGAGAGCAAGTTGCTGTCAGGCCGATATGTAGATATACATTCCTATGTGACCATGTGCAGTGGTCAAATGCAACATTTTATCAACTTTTTACAACACCTTTGTTAATAACGAACTATATTTATAGATATATTAATGAGCAAACTGCACACCAAACGTTTGAAAATGAACGTTACTCACAATCATTGCCAATCAGGATGAAAGATTTCTATTGTAGACCTCTCCCTCCCTCCCTTCCCTCTGGCCCTATCACTGTGAATTCTCCTCTATCCCTGCCTCCTCTCTTCCATCCCCCTCTCTCCTCTTCCATCCCCTTCTTCCCTCTTCTATCCCTCTTCCCCTTCTCTCTTCAACCCATTCTTGACCCAATATCGCTCGCCCCATCTTTCTAATTCCTTAGCCTGCTCTGTTTCTCTCAAACAAAGAGGGAAGGGGGAGAGTGTGTGCCTAGAGGAGAGACCTCGGAAATCAAGGATGCAAATATGAAGAAATTTAATCATTAATTAGTTTTTAGCTTGTCTTCAAAGTAGCCTTTTTCTCGACCTGCTGCGTATTTTCTCTGGCTTATTTTATACACTGACGAACACGTGATGTGCACGTGACTAACACGTGATTGACACGTGATCAGCGTTTAAGAGGCACGTGAGGCTCACGACGTGCTGTACACACGAGGAGCACTTGATACATAGGTGATGCGCACGTGATCAACTCGTGATGTGTGGAATGGGGTGAGGCCACCGATCTCTATATACTAACTTGGTATATAACGTTAGTATAATAGAGATCAGTGGGTGAGGTAGCATCATGGTTGTAATGTCATTGCTCACGGATACGTAGCAGTGATGGTGACGTGCCGTATGTTTCTCTCGGCATGTAGGACAGCATGCCTGCTGCCCTCACCCCCTCCGCGCTGTCATACCCCCACCCATCCTACCCTCCCCCCTCGGACGCGTTCCGCGGGGTCGGGTCAAGGTGACGGTTAACGTTGTCTTCTGTCTCGCTCATGTGGGGTGTTCTGAAATGACAGCCCCCGCGTGTGCGGCATACCTTGGAGTAATCATTCTGACCGAATGATTACTGTAAGGGCATACATAGAGTACTGTCGTTCCATCTCATGAACAATTGTGAGGCCCCATCTATCCCGTTGTTATCTCGTTGTTTCGTCTGTGACACTGTTCTCACGCTCTACTAACGGGGCAGGTGGATCATTATTCAAAATATTCGTCACGAACGTAAGATATTATATTATCGGATAGATTTTGTTCTGGCCGTGTGTGTGTGTGTGTGACGTAGACAGTGACGTCAGTATAGTATCAATGAATCGTAGCGTGTCAGTTATTATTATACGATATTTTGCTGCTAAGCTGAAAGACGGCAGTGTTATAAAAAAGTTTAAACACATGAAATGTGTTTTTTAAATAATATCATGCAAAAAACGTTTGTGTTGCGTTGTGTGTATGTATTTGTGTAGCATGCAGCAAATGTGGACCGTGTGTCCGTGAGCGATCACTCACTGTAACCCCGTAGTCAGTCGTCGTTTTACTCCGTTATTTCTGTTGTTAAATACCAGAATATGATTGTGCGCATTTCTTGTTAGCGTGGTCACACGCTGAGAGATAGAATATGCTGTTATTTTAATGTCATTTTATATGTGGTTTTAAATTGAGTCACCTGATCGTATGTATGAGATCATATAATGTTTAGCAAGAGCTGAAGTGCTTCTATATATATAGTTCTCCCAAACCTCTGTGCCATGTACATTACAGTGTATATATATATATATATATATATATATATATATATATATATATATAGACGTGCACTGTAAGGCATAGGGGCAGAAGGCAGTGGATATGTAGTGTGCCTAGCCTGGGATAGTTTTAAAACATGTAAGGCAGGAACTGATTCATTTGATTAGTATTTTATACTGTGATTTAGTTGTTTCAAGTATCGATGTAGAATAACTGGTGTTGCTATTAGTTATCACTACTGCTGCTTCTGCGTTGATGCTGCAGGCAACTAGTGCTGCGACCTGTTGGGGGAAAATATGATGTAAAAGTCTTTATGATTTCTGCTATTTCCATAAAGAGAGAGAGAGAGAGAGAGAGAGAGAGAGAGAGAGTGTGTGTGTGTGTGTGCGCGCGCGCGCGTGCGTGCGTGCGTGCGTGCGTGCGTGTGTGTGTGTGTGTGTGTGTGTGCATGCGTGAGAGAGAGAGAGAGGAGAAAGAAGCGAGAGAGGCACATGAATAAACATCATTCCCAGGTTATGCACACTTGCTGTTTGCTGCAAGTTAACTACCACCTTGACCAGCTGCGATTGATGTAAGAGCTGTCTTAGTCGGTGATGTTTACATCGAGCCGATGGCCACCTCCAGTGTTTGACATTCTGTGTTAGAAATGGCTCTGTAATAATGTCTGACAATTTACCACCCATTCTTTAGCAGTAAATATTTTAGTTTTTAGATTTTTTGTTTCTATTGTATCTATTCATTTGTTATGCAGTTTTACAGTACAGGGTTTATTACAATAAATTGAGGTGTCAACAAATGCTACGGTGATCACGTTTTATTCATTTGTTTTCATGTACTGACCTTAAAAAGAAAGAATGGAGTTCACGTGTATTCGTGAAAATTGAAACACAAGAATACGATAGTTCCTAATGGTTATCTATCTTTAATCCATGGCGTGAAAACATTGCTTATTCGGTGTGATGTGTCACGTGACCTACACAACTGAACAGCCGACGACCATCGTCATCAACAGGTACGTTGCCACGGTAACGGGGAGCAAGCTGCCGGCAGAGCTGCGAGAAGAAACCGTCAGGTCCTCGACGAGCGCATCGTGCCAAGCGTCTGTGTTCCTCACGCTCAGCTTAGCGACCGTCTCCCCGCCCAGCGGTGACATCACGCTAGCAGACGCCCCGGCGTTGTCGGGGGTATCTGCGGCGTCACGGCAACGCACGACCGTGGACGTGGCGCTCACTTGTTTCCCGGCGATCGCGACCTCGAAGCTGACGCAGTCGCTTGTCAACGCGACGTCCTGGTGGGAGGCGACGACCGTGACGTCACCGCCGGCGCCCTCTGTCCGTATCTCGACGAAACCCTTGTCGTTGAACCCGACGACGAGCATGTGGTCGGCGATGACCATCGTCACGGCAACGTAGCTTCGTTCGACCTCGTCGCCGGGGTTACCGGGCAGGTCGTTGCTGAGGAAGCGTACGCGGCCGGTGATGCTCGCCACGTGGGCGAGTGATCCGCTGTAGTTTAATGAGGCCGAGTCCGATCCAGCTCCAGCTAGCACGACGTTCATATCTGTCATGTAGATCTCGTGGGAGGGCTCCGCGGGGAAGACTTGCCAGTAGGTGGAGTTCCACGTGTAGGGAAGCCCACCTGCTCCCGGCGTAACGTTCCCTTCCTGGAAGCCGTGATGGTATTGTAAACGTAATGCGGTAACCAAAGATAGTTATAAAGGTAATAGCTGTATGTCCAGCTAACAGAATCTTAGCTAACTAAAAATAGTTGATCTAGAGATCTCATTAAGCAGATAACCCTAGATACCATATAATACCGCATATAATCCTAGCTAATAACAGATAACAAATAACAGATAACAGATTACAGATAGTAGATAACAGTAAGATAAGGGGTTGCTATCTTTACTAGTCGTTACCTCTAATGCGTCTAGAAACTCCTTTTTTAGATCGGGTGGCAAGTCGTAGTAGATGCGTCGTGGGTCGCCATGGCGACGGAGGCTGACGAGTCCGTCGACGTTGACGGGATCGTTGGCACCGTGCCAGACAGTGACGGTGAAGTCGGGGCGTAGCTGAGTAAGCCACAACCACTTATCGTACGAGGAGTGCGCCTGCATCAAACATGTAGGAACACACAGTATTGGTCATGTCGTGGTTGCCCTGACAACATTACATCCCTGCATCAGTATTGGTCATGTCGTGGTTGCCCTGACAACATTACATCCCTGCATCAGTATTGGTCATGTCGTGGTTGCCCTGACAATGGTACATCCCTGCATCGCTATTGGACATGTCGTCGTTACCCTGACAACGCTACATCCCTGCATCTTGGTATCGTGTATCTCACCCATACGGCTCTGACGGGGAAGGTAACGGCTTGCTGGAGACCGTAGCAAAGCTTCATCATATCCAGCATCATCCTCCACGTGTACGCATCACCGCCGGAAACGTACAACGTCGTCCAGCCCAGAGATAACACCATGCGTGGAAACTTGCTCACGGCTGTCCCGATGAACTGTACAGGATCCACAGGGGCCTGAGATAAAAACATATTAATATGGGATGATGTTCACTTTGATCTCAATCGTCGGAGTACTGTAAAGATCGATACTCGAGCGATATGGACACTGATCTTGTTATACTGATATGTTTGTGATATGTGTATTATGAGTAGCACTTTGCTATTGCTAAAAGGTTTATTGCTAATAATGGTCAGTAAGACCTCATACCCTCCATACCTCAGGATATAAATGTAAAATGTTATATTAAATGTTAATGTAATTAGTAAATGTAAATCTTCAACAACAAATTAAATGTAATGTTAAATAGATATAATACTTTCATTCAGGTTGTTGGGTCCCGAGACTATGTCAGCGTTTATCCACAAGGGGGCGTGCAGGTCTTTATCCATCTTCACCAGCATGTCCATGGCCGGATCTAGAGCGTCTATCTGCTTGAAATCCAACTTCATACCTGATGCAGAGCTCAGCTATCAATCTCCTATACTCATTCGTTCAATCGTTTGGCTATTTCGTTCTTATAGAACTACGTATAGGCAGGGGTTAATAATGACAAATTATATGAAACATACGAGTATCTACAAGCACATCTCAACTACGAACAGGTTAGATGGTGGTATATATATAATAGAAGGATGAGAGCATTACCCTTATCAGTGACTACCGTACGAAGCAGCCACTCTTCTAGGGTGAGGTTGCTATCGACAGCAGGCGGATGAGCCATGACAGGAATGTTGGTGCCTTCGCGCAAGATAACATCAGCTTCTAGCATCATCACTGCCTCATCTACTCAACAGACAAAACACATACACTCAGCAGGCTTTCATTTTTAAGGGGCGCGATCGCGCTCGCGCTCCACCGCGCACCATAAATTGTGCCATGGTGCGCGCATCA